GATGGCAAATCCTCTTCTCCCCTGGGGAGTTTGTCTAATGGTTAATCACCTTGCTATTAAAAATGTGAGTTTTTTTCCTTATTTGCATGTATCTGGCTTTTGCTCCGAGCCCTTGGCGGTTGCTCTCTTTTCTCTGCTGGCTTGAAGATGGTGGGTAACACCAAGTCTCTTCTCCTGGAAATGAAGCATCCATTGCTAGATCCTCTACCTGAGCCCTTGTGCTGCTCAACTAGCTTTCCTCGTTCTGCCAGGCAAACTTTTGTTGCATTTTGTATAAATACACACACACACACACACAAAAACAATGATTACAAATTCCCCTTCTTCCCTGACAGTACTACCAAGCCCATTGCTCCTCCAGCAGCCATGAGAAATGCCATACTACTTTGTACTTTGAGCAAAGCAAAGGAATAAAGCAGCTGCCCCTGCCTTCTTTGGGGGAATTTGCAAATTGCCAAGAAAAGCTGGAAGAGCATCCTGGGCCCGTGGTCCGGCCGGTTGCCTCGCCAGCCCTGGCGCTGCTCTGCCTGTCGGCACACAGCTCGGCGCTGCGCCCTCATGAAAGCTGGTGCGTCGGGCTGCGTGTTGGTGGAGCCGGGCGCTTGAGGTGGGAAAGCAGCCAGGACTGGGGCAGATGCAGGAGAAAGAGGAGTTCCCACCTCCAGGAACTTGCCAGCTGGCTGCTTTATTTACAAATTGACCTTACAAAACTGATGATTTGGGTATTATTTTCCCCCCCACCCAAGTGGCTGCCTCTGGTCTACTTGCCTGAGAAAGCTGAGCTGCTTTTGTGCAGGGCTGAGCTGGGCAGAGGGGTGGCTCCTGGCAAAGGGGATGATCCTTGTCTGCTGGTGCTGGGCCTGGAGCCAAGCCCTGGTCCTGATGCTGAGGTTGCCCATGGCTTATTCATAGATCACAGCCAGAGCAAACTGTCCTGATCCACTGGTCTGACCGCGGTAAAGAATCTGCAAAACCTCTGCCATGTGAGCCCATAGCTTCTGCTTGGTCCAAAGCCTGTCCTAGAAATATGTCGAGTTGAGACTGAAGGGCCTGGGCCTGCTGCATCCTTGTGGAAGCCATTCCCATGGCTGATTTCCTGCTCTCATTAGAAATGTGAGCCTTATTTTCCATCTGAATGGATCTAGCTTTATCTCCCAGCTCTTGCACTGATCTGGCTTTACCTTTGGGAGTTGAACAGCCCTGGGGATCTGCTCATAGTCCCAGCAACTTTGCGACCCTGGCCTTGCTGGCCTGGGCCACCACGAGGACTGTGTAACTCAAGGAAGGGCTTGAAGTGCAGCCCTTAGGAGTGGGATGTCGGTGGCTGAGGAGTGCATAATCCTTGGGCTTTGGGGGGGATTCAATCCCTTAGATCACTGAGATGCTTTGGAAAACCCTCTCCTGATTTTTGTCCCATAAATCAGCTTCTAGGCATGCCCAGAGGCGTTCTCGTCCGGATGGGGCAGCAAGAGTGGCCGGGGGCTGTGGGAGGCATGCTTTGCCTGTCCTTGGGAGCCCCAGGGACTCTGCTGCTCTGAGAAACCACATCAGGAAGGTCTGTGCTGCCCCATTGCGCTGTTTGCTCTGTGCTGTGGTGTTCTCTCCTGCATCTCACCCCGGTTGAGCTGCGCGAAGGACTGGACGGGCTGCGAGGTGCCAGCTCTGCCAGCTCCATAGCATTCAGGGCTGGAGACTCCCAGAGAAGGAAGTCTCTTGCAGCAGCAGGGATGTGACAGCCAAGGTGGCTGGAGGTGAGGGCAGGCAGCAGGTAGCTGTGTCCTACTGGGGTGCAGGGCAGAAAGATGCTGCTGCACAGAGGTTCAGGGAGCCAGTGGGGGTCTGTGCTGGAGCAGGGTGATTTCAGCTGTAGTGGTGTGTGTTTCCACATTGCCTGTTCGGGTCTGGGTATAAAACACTTTGCAAAAGCTGTACTGATTTAAAGTGCTCTTTGCCCCTAGTCGCTGCTCTTGCCTCTATGCTGGAGGGGGTCAGGGAGCATCTGCAGGCCACCATCTCCATCGTGGTGGGAAGGTCTCAGCATCCTCCTCGGCATGCCTGGAGGGCTGAGGAGTAGCCAGGAGGGGCCGGCAAGTGGGGGGTTTACATTGGCTTCACTCCGAGTTATATTTTGAAACATTTTAAAGGGGAAAAGGACTGCATGTTTTTAGCCTTAAAGCAACGAGGCCAGGAGGAGAGCAAGGGTGGCTCCGTCCCAGGTCGCGGAGAGCACCCAAAGCACGTGGGGAGCGCAGGCTCCACATGAGGTTGTCCTCCCACGTGCTGGAGCTGTGCCCCGCTACGGCAGAGACGTCTTGCTCCGCGGGAACCTCCCGCCCCAATTCACTTCTGTTTTTGGGTTTCCCCCCTAGCTACCCCACGGAGCCCTGGAGCAGCGGCCTGGCGCGTGAGCCGCTCCCAATGCGGAGCCC